CAGCCCATTCTGACTTGCATCTCGAGAGCGGAGATTCTGTTTTGTATATGCAGTCAGGATTTTCTGCTTCAGTATGACCCTGGGAAGTATTTATTGTGCTTTGAAACCTAATGTGAACTCAGCAAGCCTGATTTTGCCACATCCTTAGAAAGAAAGTGTAAACCCAACGAACAGTAGCATTGGCTAAAGCATTGTCAAAAATCACACTCCTGAGATATTCAGAAGAAAAATTTTGGTGTCTTCAAATAATAAATAAATAAAAATATACACAGAAATAATTTCAAAGAAAGTGAACCAGAAAGGAATAACTCAGAGTGGGATAATAATATCCAATGACCACCGGACCTTTTTATGAGGAAAAGAGAGCAAGATTTTTACTTCTCCCTGGCTGAGTAGTGTCAGCCAGACTAGAAACTAACACACAAAAAGCTGGCCTGATAGATCCAGTAAGGGAAACTGATCTTTTCAAAATCTATTTCAGGGGCACCTTGGTGGCTCAGTTGGTTAAGTGTTTGCCTTCAGTTCAGGTTGTGATCTCACGGTTTGTGAGTTCAAGCCCTGCATCGGGCTCTGGTGCTGACAGCTCAGAGCCTGGAGCCTGCTTTGGATTCTATGTGTCTCTCTCTCTACCCCTCCCCTGCTCATGCTCTGTCTCTCTCTCTCTCACAAATAAATAAACATTTAAAAAATTGTTTTAAATCTATTTAAAAATAATAATAAAAGTCCATTTTATTCGTGGAGTGTTTTATTATAATTATACAGAAATGTAGAAGATTCTTTCTTGGGATAAGCTCAAGTGTATCTCCATGGTAAGTAGAAAGTGGGACGAGAGATATTTTATCCCCTTCCAGTGTCAACATACAAGTACCTTAGACTAGAAACAAGTGTGCAGCCCCAGGCAAACTTTGTCACTGATGAGCAGGGTGGCCATTAGGTATTTTTTTTCCCACCTCTTTTCTGTATTCCCCACTCTCACCCCCTTCTCACTTGCCTCAGAGCCATGGCACATGCATTCCCATTAAGCTCAGAGTTGAAGAAGAAGGGGTACCAGGAGGCATGGAGGCCTTCCCTGGCCTCCTGCAGGCATGGCATATTCACAACCACTTTGTCAAAAGATGGCCCTGCAGACTGGGAATTTGGGAAGAATAGCATTCGTGATAAGAGAAGATTATCACTAAGGAGATAGGACATAAGGAAACAGCACAGGCCTTCCCTAGCAGAGGACAGCTGACCATTTGTACAGAAATGGAAACAGCTATAGACCACAAGAAATAAGACAGAACGCATAAGCAATCCTTCTGGGTATTCAAAGCAAGGAAATCAGCTGTGCTTCCAAACTGAACTGTGCTACAGAGGACAAAATCATGGGCTCATAATTGCCGTGTCAGAGTTGTTGATAAACCTCATGCAATGAAAAGATCCACGAGGGAGAAAACACTGATCAGAGGAGGAGCTAAGATAGCAGAACAGCATGGAAGTTATTTTCTGTGTCTGGCATTGATGAAATACAGCCAGATCAACACTAAACCATCCTGCGCACCTAGAAAACTGATCTGAGGATTCACACAACAATCTGCACAACCTAAACCACAGAATTCAGCAGGTACGTGGCACGGAGAGGTGAACTGGGGGAGAGAGAAGCCACAGAGGGCAGGGAGCTGTTTTTGCTTGTGGAGAGAGGACAGAGATGGAGGGAAAGTATGGGAAAAGCATCCCCCCACACACAAAGCAGCTGGAGAGAAAGTGGAAAAGTGGAAACAGCCACAGGGACTGAACAAGAAAGGGAGAAAGGAGAGGGTTTAAATTCCATTAAGTCTCTATAAATAGGGGGAGCACAGAGTCTGAAACTGTGCAGCTGAATACCTTGTGGTGCTCTGGTGGGAAGGGCAAATACCCAGGAGCAGAGTGAAGTTGGGGGGGTCCTCGGGCCACACAGGGAGAGGGAGTTCCCCTGCTGGGACAACATGTGGTAGAGCCCTTGTGGCCACCCCATCAGACCCCAGAGGTCCCAGAAGACCCCAGAGAACAACCACATTCACTGGTTCTGGAACAAGGTCGTTAAGGGTGAAGCCTGGTGGCAGATGTGTGTCATGATTTTCCATAACCCCTGAAACACTTCTGCTACATGATCACGTGAACTTTTCTGGGGCGGGCTGGCACCCAGCTGCAGTCTCTGGGCCTTGGCAGCAGCACGGACCCAGAAACGTTCTTGGGTGTGGCCTGCATGCAGCCATTGCTCAGTGAGACCCTCCTATGGAGGGTCAGAACAGGTCAAAACTGCAGTCCCTCAGAAGTCAGGGATCGGGAAACACAGCCAAGTCTAAGATAAAACTCAGGAGGGAGGTGACACCTGGCAACCTGATGGCTTGGTCACCAACAGTGTAAAAGTGGGGAGTGGACAGAAGCCAGAGACAAAGGACGGGTGCACAATTACTGATCAGAGAGAACAGAGTTCTGATAGTAAAGACTGGGTAGCTGGGTGACACCATTTTCACCACTCCCGCACATGTCCATACACACCTACAAGTGCCACAACAATCCACCCCAGTAAGCTAAGCAGCACCATCTAGTGGAGAACGGAGCCATTACACGGAGCCATGCCCGACGGGACCAACCTCGATTTTCAGGAACAGAAGTCTGTCCACCTGCTTAGTTTACTGCTATAAAGTGCTTCACAGTTTGACTTCTAGGGGAAAATGATGTAATTTCAATCATATTTCAGTCTGTTCACTGATCCATCTACTCAATTTTCTTTTTTTCTTTTTCGTTTTTTGTCTTTTTCTTGAATACAGAAAGAGAAAAAATTTATTTTTATTTTCAATTT